TTCCCATGAGCCTTGGTTGGAAGTGGACACTGAGTAGCCAACAGAAATATGCAGGCACTACTTACTGTGAGGAAAGCACACTGGCCGTTTTGCATAACAGTCAATTTAACCAAAGCAATTGCTTTGCAAAAAGGCTGTAGTCTTTTTCTAACTTGGCTACTGATGGAAGGGATCTAAGAATGCAGTAAAGGGAAACCCAACCCTCCAACTGTTATAGAGACAGTGTAAACATTTGAAACAGAGTGTATGTTCAGGTATGTTCCTGCTGCTCTTTGCTTGACCATCTCCTAAGAGGTGCCATCTTCTCAGCAGCTTCTCATTACATATCTTCCCCTACAAAGTGTCTCCAGCAGAGAGATGGAGAGAAGAATCTCCAATTCACTTGCTATTAATTACACCACCTGATGGCTTTGCCACTAGCCCCAGCACCTTTGGCTCCTGCGACTGCCTGTGAGGAAGGTGGCTCTCTAGAGACTGCGGTCGCAGCTTTTATCTCTGGAAAACACAGGCTGTCTCTGATGTGTTCAAGTAGATATTTTTCCTGTAATGAATGAATTATGAATAAAATACAGAAACTAGTTAATATGCTACACAAAGGGAAGGGAACATAAATGCTCTGCAGTGTGGAAGTTTAGAACTGGTAAATTTCCTTATTCAAGTAAATGTATAGGATTTAGGGTTGCTTAGTATCAGTATTTCAATAGTAGGCAATAGAGCTGTTCAGTACCAATATTTTTGATAGCTGATAAGGTTTCTATAACAAATCTAAAAATGTCCCAGAATTTGCTGAAAATACAGATGTAAGGCTGTGTCTTTATAGCCCTTAAGCATTACTTTTTCCTGCACTACAAAATATATAAGGATGATGAGTGTTTTCCAGGTAGACTATTAATTTCTTGTCATTGAGCCAGGCTGTCAGCTCTACTGTATTACTTCAGTTTACAGAAAGACTTCAGTGAAGGTACAGAAGGAAAAGCAAGTAGGCTACTGACTTTTCACATACTTAATTACCAAATGCCATTTGAAAAATGTTATTTCCTTCTTTCTTCAAGTCTGAAAACAATAGTTTCTCTTAGTGTGCACATAAGCACTTGCAGGTAGCAGAGTAAGAGATACAGAATCATAGAACCATAGATTGGCTTGGGTTGGAAGAGCCACTAAAGCCACTGAAGTTCCAACCCCCATCACCATGAGCCAGTTGCTGTCCACTGGATCAGGCTGCCCAAGGCCCCATCCAGCCCGGCTTGAGCATCTCCAGGGATGGGGCATCTACAGCTTCTCTGGGCAGCTGTGCCAGCACCTCACCACCCTCTGAGTAAAGTGTTTCCTGCTAACATCTAACCTGTATCTCCCCTCTTTTAGTTTAAAACCTTTCTCCCTTGTCCTATCACTACCAGATGGTATAAAAAGCCAGTCTTCCTCCTGATTATAAGCTTCCTTTGGAAAGCTGCCAATGGAAGGCTGCTATGATGTCTCCTCGAAGCCTTCTCTGGTCTGAACAAGCTTAGATCCCTCAGTCTGTCTCCACAGGAGAGATGCTGCAGCCCTCTGAGTGTCTTCATGACCTTCTTTTGGACCCATACACCTGGCTCTAAGCTAGTACTGGTGCAGCCAGAAATCTGACATAAAAAAGACTAATTTTTCCTGCTTCTCAGCTGGGTTTGTTGTTGTATTTTTAACTGAACTTTAGCATGTTTGCATTGTGCTGCTATCATATAAATGCAAGCTTTGCAGTCACTTCGTCTTTTTGTGTTTTGGGAACACTGGGATCTTCTTTCTAACTGAAGAGATACATCTAAAGCAGCTGGGCTGAACAGTCATCCTGACTAGAGTATGAGTATTTTTGCTCATTGGCCTTTCCTGCTTCTGGCTGGTTGGCTATGCAAAGATGAGGTACATAGCTGTTAGCTAGCCTGTATTATTAATGCATGTCTAACTATTAAGAAATGCCTGTTCATTCAAGGCTACAAAACCAGGTGAAAACCTTACAGATGAACAGCCAGGGTGTGAGAGTTTACCAAATATAGTCATATTATATTTGAAACATCTGTATTCCTTAGAAACTGTTTTTGTTACCTGCCAAAGCACTACCTGCATTTTTACATGATGTAATTTTAGATGTACTTACTTTACTACATCCACTTGTACATTATTCTACTCACTGGAGAGTAATTAGATTAACTACATGATGCATTGTTGCTTAGCCCCTGAACACTAATAAGCTTCAAGATCCTTAACATTCCAAACACGGCATCTGGTCGGGGTGCCATCGTGTGTTGTCATGTCCAATTATATGAAATTTTAAAGGAGGTGATGACTCTTACAGAAACTGAAAGGCAATGACAGCAATGGACTCCAAAACATTGTTTCCCACTGTGCCCTTAGAAGCATATCCTTTCCTCAACTTTGTTTTTTAAATCTGATTTGACCACAGTGACCGTGGAGAACTTTTCAGGTTCTGTTCTTGCTCCCTTTGAGCTCACTTGTAAAACCATCGTGTATCCTGGCTATGATGGCAGAACACCAGGTGAAATGCAATTTCTTTTCTCTGTGTTTTTTCTAGCTTCACATTCCAATCATTCCCACTTTTCCCTTTCAAGTCTCCTTGCGTGCATTTGGGAAATGGTTGTTTTCCTACATCATACAGTTCACATATGTCAGGGATCTGAATTACGTAAAAGTATTCAATTTATTTCCATGAAGTATAAGGTAAAGGTTCTCAATTTTATTCTTCACCAGTGCTAACATCCTTAGGTAGCCTGTTTTCTGTATCCTGCTTTACAAATGTATATACAAATCTATAATGAGATTAGTTTTTAAAAAGCCTCTTATGTGCACAATGAGCAATCCTTTGTCGTGAGCATGGAGCCAAATGTATTGGCATTGTCCTGTAAGAGAGATTTTAAAACATATAAGATTTTGCCATTACTCCACCATTTGGCACTTGGGCTCCAGAAAGCAGATTATTTGCTGTCTGTCCATAACTGGGCTCATCTTTCCTGCATCTGAAGAAGTGCAAACCCAAGCTATATTTGTAAGATCTTGATAAATACAAAGTGTAAAGGGTGGAAGGGTATTAGAAAGCTCCAGGAGTCTGCTTCTGAGGTCTCAATCGTTTAAACATAAGCTGGTGTTCAGCTAATCTGTTCTTTCTTCTATTTTAAGCTTTGGCATCAATGATCAAAATTCAGGAAATGAAGATTGAGAAAGCAAATGAAAAGGAGAATAAAGCTATTAAGTGATTAAAGTGAAGATTTGTATACATTGATGACTACTTTCATGTATGTTGTGTTTAAAATACACTTTATTTTTAAAGATGGATAATGAAGGTTCTTGTAGTTTTGCGATCCTTACCAGGACACTCTTTACAGTTGTTACTTTTAAGTGAGCGGGAAGTACAGAAGAGTAAATATACATTTAAATACAGGCATTTCCACTGGCATACATTGCCAGTAGCCATGTGCTGTGGGTGACACTGGTCACAAGGCACTGCCAACTGATTCATGTTCAAGTAGGAGTTTTCTTCCATGTATTCTGGATCTTGCACACTATTTCAGGTTCTCAAAGTTAGTTTTGAACTGGTTTGTTGGGCATGTATTTGGCATTCTAAATTAAATCCTTTCCCCTTCACCTCTATAATTAATGTTACTAGTTCCATAAATTCCAGTTAATCTGGATGTCCCAGAGCTACCAAGTGTTCCCAATTTAAGCAGGAAACTCAGCCATGGCTCCTGTTAACTTTGTAGTAAATACAGTGTTTTGAACAACATCCCTATAATTGCAAGACTGCACAGATTTCATCCTATACCATGATTCCTTCCAGCAACATGATGACTCACAAAATGATATTTTTGGTGTAATTTTCACTACCTGTTATTGTATTTGCTTTGATTTTTAGTACAAATGGAGACAGATTAATAATGCTTCCCCTTCAGAGTCTACAAAAGGTTCTCTGAAATGTCAGTTGTGGAGGCTGTTGCCTTATTAGCAAAGGACCTCTTCCCATAAGCACTAGAAAGGGCAGGATGTCCCCTTGCAATAATTGGTGTGCAAACACACAAGAGGGGCTGAACAGTGTACCTGGGTCAGCAGGAGGTGGCACTGATGCAAGATTCCTAGCTTTAGCAATTTTCTTCAGTCTGTTTTTTGAAAAGCAATGATTGCCTTAGGTTTGTGGCAGCATAGAATACCGTGCTTGAATTTGAAGGGTTTACAGTCAATCTGGTGATTTTGTCCAAACCGTGACATCAGTAGTCCTGCAAAAGTAGCTTCATTAGCACAAGCCCATCCAGATACAATCTAGGTTTTGTTGCCTTTAAAGCTGTGCAACTTATACCCAGAATATCAAACCTCTGAGTTTGAATTTAAGGTCTCTTTGTGAAGGAAGAAGAGATCAGTGAGTTGTTCTGAATCTGTCTTTAGTTGTTGTCAGCAGTATTTTGATTGAATTCAAGTAATTCTTGGTATTTTTCAGTCACTTTTTTTCCCCACTGGCTTTTTTTTTTTTCTTCCAACAGCATTGCTTTAGTTAAAACATTAAAAAGGCACCCTTACTTTCCTACGAATGGGTTGTGTTGAAAGGATAATTTATTTTAGATGACTTCTGTATCAGAGTTCGTGCACGTATTTGACAGACCTACAAAGTTTTACATAGAAAAGGTGAGGTGTAGAGACTGAGATCAGCAAGTTGTAAAAGGTCAATGAAAAGTTCTTGTTTGAGTTCAAGGAGTCAGTCCAAAAGTAGTTTCAAATGGCTGCAGTCTTGTGAGAATAGAAGGGAACAGGTGGAAAGATACAAATTGCCAGAGAAAGGAGATCTGCCAAGCAAAAAGCTTAACATCCTCATGCTGGAATCTGACGGAGGTGGGAACAGGTCTGGGCTTCCAGCAGAGGGACTGGGAAGGCCTAGGGGGAGATAAGGAGCCACACACACAAGGGTCCAATGTATACATCCTGGATTTTACAACACAAATAGCGCCTTGTTATTCCATGTTGTACAGGTGGATGACAAGAGGAGAGTAAGGCAAATGTTGACCGCATCAGGACACCACAGATGGCAACCGACACACTGCAGATAAAATCTAGCACCAGCCTAGCATATTTGAATGCATCATGTAAAGCATCTCCACAAGGTAAGTTTAACTCCCAAAGAAAATGTGTGTTGGGTACGGTTTTTGCAAAGGCAACTGCAAAATAAATAGGAATCAGACAAGATTCAATGCAAGTTTCTGTACAAGATTTAAAACTTGTTAGTGTTCAGTAAGAGCCCTGTCCTCATCCAAGCTGCTGCTGTCTGCTCAGTTTACCCTCCAGGGATACTATTTAGCATTTGTATACCAAACTACTTCACAAATAAGACTAGATTGTATTTCACCTAGAAGTAATCACATTGTCTAATAGTTTGTTTTCAACAGCCTGAGCTGGTCATTGTAAGCTGTAGGACTTGGGTTGTAGTTTCTTTGCCAAGCTGTGAGGCAGTTTATTATCTGTTTATAGAAATTCTGAGCTGCTGATTGCTAGATCCACATAATAATAATCTTTTTTTCCTATATAGCTTCATTAGTTTCACAGCTGGGACACTGTTATACAGGTACCGAGCCATTCTAGCATAACCATTTTCATGCAGTATTGTCTTTGTTCAAATCTATGTTGTTGTGGTTCAAACAGGCAGACAGCTAAACCATGCAGACATTTGTTCACATCCCCTCCACATGCATCCTGCTGTGGGCTGGAGAAGAAAAACAGAAAGTGCAAGAGCTCATAGGTTGAGATAAGGACAGTTTAGTAAAGAAGAGAGAAGAAAGGAAAAGTAACAACTATTCCATTGCTAGTGTGAGTCAGTTGTCCTGGTTCTGTCCCTTTCTAGCTCCTTGCTGGCACAGTGGTATGAGAAGCTGAAAAGTCCTTGACAGACTTCATGCAAACACAGCTCAGCAACCAAAATGTCAGTGTGTTATCAACATTGTTCTCATCCTAACTCCAAAACACAGCACTATACTAGCTAATAGGAAGAAAATTATCCTAGTCATAACCAAGACACGTTTTCAGATTTGAATGAATAGATTGTCCAGTAATGAGGAATTGACTCTCTGAGAAGTTAATAATCAACTGCAGTATTAACAACGCAGAAATCCAAATTTCCTTTTTTCCACCATACAAATGGCGTTTCACTTATGTAGCCTATGTCCTGCAGGGCAAGCAGTGATGTGAGTAGGATGATAATTTAGATTTCACAGTAAAAACACATTGCACATCACTGTAGAACCCAGTTCAATCATTGAGCAAGATGATGAAACCATGAGGACTGTATGTGCCACCTCTTGGATCAAAGTGCATGGTGTTTAACTAAAATATTGCCCTCAGTTTGAGAGACTTCTCAGGGTTAGCCTGTTTGTAACACGTTCATTATTGCATTAAGGAATCTATTCTAGTGTAGGTCAAGTGGCTTTCTGGTGAATACCTTAATCTAATGCCACCATTAATCTTCTCAGATAAGCCTACAACATATTGGGTATGTTATTCTCTTTATTAGGTAAGAGCAAAAAATGCAGGTAAGGTTCAAGGCAATTCATTTCTACATAGTTCTTATTCAGTTGAAGCCATATGCTACCGACTGAAGCCTGCACAAGTGTTTTATGTTCACTGGCAGTGCACATGGACAGAACTTAGCTTTCTGCTAGCACATGGTAAGCACAGTCATAATTAAAGAGGATAAATAGTTGTTACAAATAAGCAGTAGCCCCTTTGATGAAATGAGTCTCATGCTAATACTTTTTAAACCTAAGTTATGCTAAATAGGTCCTAAGCCTTTTAAATTCATATAGTAAATGATTAAGTCCCATTTGAGTTGTCGGTTGAGAGTTCAGGAGCACTGTGTACACTTCTACCTGTTTAAGATCACTGAAGTAGCAGCAATCAGCTCCTGAACTGTCAGCTCATTCCTCCCCCTTAGTGCCCAGTCACTAGTGACCCCACATACCTTCCAGACCCTACAACACTTCTCACACTGAAAGAGGTGCTTTTCATCCTAGGCAAGCAGTAAGCAAAAAAAATGCAGCAAGTCTTGAATTCAACTCTCACCCCCATTTCCTACCTTATTCTCAGGTAGGAAAGGTCTCTTGAGGAAGGAAAGCAAACTTCCTCACCTGAATCTTCAGGTTGTTCAAGACAACCAGCAAGCAAAGATAATGTCGTTATCTGAAGTAACTAACTTGCAGAACAAGTTGCTCTCATATATATATACGACCAATGGGAGGGGCTTGGTTTACCTGAGAACACAAACTAGCTCAGAAACAGTCTAGTTCACCTACTCAGACGGCTCCACCATGTAAAACAGGAAAACATAAGCAGAGACAATGAGCTTTGCAATGGGTTTTTAAAGTGTATGTTCCAAACCTCCAATGAAACTATGCTCTCCAGAGCAGGTTTGTTGTAGTGAAGGGATATTTGCAAACTAGGTTCCTCGTTTTTGGGAAGAGCTTGCTGCAAGAAGCATCGTATTTGGAACTAACAATATGAGAAGCAGCCAGTGGGGCAGATCTCTTATTTTTACAAAACAGAAGCAACAAGTTGATGCTGGAAGTGTTCTACATGCTCTGGCTTACTTAGAAGGCTACTTAAGCTTTCACACAGTAAAGACTAGTCTTGAAACAAGCATTCCAAGTATTTGTTAGCCACAGTTTAATGTTTTCACAAGCAACATATGCCCTGGAAGCACATGCTATTTCAGGAAAAATCCTATCCCCTGATTATTACAACAGCTTTAGTTCTGTTTGTTTTTTTTAAAGCCTGTTCCCACTCTGACAAAGTAATTTATTAAGCCCAGACAGTTGTTTCTGACCTTCACTCTCTATCTCACTGTGATGATACAAGTGAAAATAAATAAATGCAACTGCCAAGCCTTCATTTGAGCTGGGGTGCTTCCTAGAGAGCAAGGAGTAAGAAACAAAGTACTTAAACCATTGTCACTCTAAAGAGTGCCTGCTACTTTTCAGGAGTCATTTAGCACTAATATTTCCAGTCAAGGAATCCAACTCTGTTCTATGCAATTTATAGACAGTTCACAGGTTGTGTTATAAAGGACCATCAGTCTGAAAGTGTTTATTGCTTACTTGATACATTACATAAGTTACAACATTTAAGCTCATCTTACAGTGTAGGTAACCATGCTTCTTAGTATGCTTTTATAGCCCTAAGCCATCAGCACAAAGATGCATCCCACAGCCCCACTCAAAGCAGCACAAACTGTCAAGGGTCAACTCAAGTCCAGGGTCCAGAGTTAGAGACAGGCAGCAGCTCAGAATGCTGCTCATGCCTTCATATCCTACTTGGCACATCTTCAGAAGATGGCCAACATTGGTTTTTCAGGTTGCCAAGTGACTTCCAAATCGAGGGGGGGGGAAAGGGGAGCAACCAAGATCTACTGCTCACACAGTTTAATCAGATTTGATATGGGACTTACGGAGCGGCGCAGTCACAAAGGTATCCTACTGAAGAGGGGAGAAAGCTTAGGGGCTCTGTGATTAATCTAAGCAGGTTTAGATAAGCAGTGTCCAAAATCCAGTCAGTGGTATCCCCACCACTGATGAGCGATTTGATCTTCGTGTTCGGTCACTAGGGTCCTATTACTGCATTCCTCCCAACGTGTGACCTTCCCGTTCTCCACCAAGATAAATTTCCACTCTACTTTGGTGTCCACCGGCAAGGTGACAGACTCAGACCAGAAGCCATCCTTGTCAGACTTGAGGGGAACATAACTGTGCCACTGCCCGAGACACTCATGGTCACCGGTAACACCAATCAGCTGAGCAGCAGAGTGTGTGATGTAGTGCACACGGAAAGTCACGTGGATGTTTTGAAACATTGGGGGCACCGCTGCAACTCTCTTTGCTTTCAAGTCCCCATCAGAGCAGTCTCCTTGTTCCCATTCTTTGCTGTCTGAGTCTTCCATGCTGCCATTCTGACCAGCCTCCCCCCAGTCCAGGTGCTCAGAAACAACTTCCCAATCTTCATGGTCCAAGTCACGGCTCTCGGCTGGCTGGCACAGCTTCTCCTCACTTCTGTCCTTACAAACCTCACCAGAGGCTCCTGCCAAGTTCATCACGCACCATCCCTCACCCGCCTGCCCCACCTGTGGTCTCGATTCTCCCTGGCCATCACGTTCATCAGCCAGACGCTGCCCAGCGTCAGTCTCCGAGGAGGTGACACACTGCTTTGGCAGCAGTTGCTCAGTCTCTGGAGATTTAGAGGAAGCCGTACCGCTCGGGGTATGGTTGAGTTCACTCCCTGGTGCCGCCGTCAAATCCTCTCCTGGTTTCTGAAGGCTGGACAGAGCAGCAGCCTTTGCCTGCCGCAGCACTTCCTCACTGCTCACCAGAAGGTCCTCTAAGAACAGAATTAAAACAGGCACAGTTTAAGCAAGACACTTACCTCAAGCCCCCGCGGGTGGGCACGGGCAGCCCGCAGTCCCCAGCCCGCTACCTGCAGCCTCCGCCTCTCCCCTCGCCTGCTGGACCGCCGGGGCCGCCTCGCCGCCCTCCTCTCCCCGTCCATCGTTGCCGCCGTACCAGAACCAGGCGACCAGGGCGGCCAGGAGCCCCACCACCAGCGCCGGCCACAGCCCCGCTCCCAGCCAGCCCCAGCCGCGGGCCTCGGCCGGCAGAGCGGCTGCGGGCAGGCGCGGGGAAGCCGGGGACTGCCACAGCACGGGCGGGCCGCGGTCGCGGGCCATGGCCGGACGCTGGCAGTGGGGCTTCTTCCTTCCCTGTCCCGACCGCGGCTTTAAGGCAAGCTACGGGCCCGGGAGGAGCCGCCCCTGGGGCGGGCCGCGGCTTCCCACAGCACCATTGGGCCGCCCCTGGAGCGGGCGGCTGCGAGAGAGGTAGTGAGCTAAGGAACAGCTGAAAGGTTTACGTTGTGGGCAGAATGCGTGATGATCTTTGTTTTTGAAAGAAAGCGTTCGCGACTGGTGAACCTTGAGCTGTAATAACCGCAGAAGTTTGTGCAGTTGAATGGTGCTGGTGGTGGAAAGCCAGACTTCCTCTGGTGTCCCTGAAGAACTCAGTTAAACTCGCTGCTAATTTTGTAACCTGTGCGTTGTGCTCTAATGCCTACAATTGGATTTTGCGGCATTGTCCTGCTCTTCCATCATCCTTGTTCCTAAGCTTAGGAAGCTTTTTTGGACTACCAGGGCTTCAAATTCTATTAGTACAGAAAATAATTGACAATTATTTAACTTCATATTCCTACCCAGTTCTGTTCCTCTTAGAGTAATGATGTCAAATCTTAATTCAAAGTGAAACGGTTACACAAGCAAATCTAACATTAGCTAATCATAAAGTCTAGTAGATGCAGTTTCTGACTTTGTAGTTCAGATTAATAATCCCAGAGTGACAAAAGTGTTAAAAAGTTTATCAGTCCAGCAGGGGCTGGGCTATTAGCACCAACGATTTAACGCTAGAGAAGGAGTTACAGAGGCAGTTCCAGACAGTTTTACCACTGTTTGTTTGTTTGTTTAATATCCTTTCTTTTTATGTGAACAGAGCTGTTGATTTCTAAAGGCCACTGATGAGATTTGATCATCAGAAAAGAGAACAGCAAACCTCTGAATAACTATTTGCAGTGTGTAAACTTCTTAATCTTCCTGTGTCGTTAAGAGCAGTGCTACCTCAGCTTAACAGGACAGTAAATGTCACTCAGATTTATAGAAGCACAGGTGTGCAGTCTTCACAGTTAAGTTTCCTGGCTTATGTGCTATATGGGGGCCTGTGTGAATATGCAGAATTAATTGTTCTTTTCTTTTCTTTTCTTTTCTTTTCTTTTCTTTTCTTTTCTTTTCTTTTCTTTTCTTTTCTTTTCTTTTCTTTTCTTTTCTTTTCTTTTCTTTTCTTTTCTTTTCTTTTCTTTTCTTTTCTTTTCTTTTCTTTTCTTTTCTTTTCTTTTCTTTTCTTTTCTTTTCTTTTCTTTTCTTTTCTTTTCTTTTCTTTTCTTTTCTTTTCTTTTCTTTTCTTTTCTTTTCTTTTCTTTTCTTTTCTTTTCTTTT